AGTTAATTTTTTATATATAGAGATATTTCTCTTGATATTTTATTGGATTCTCCAGGGAACGAGGTAATGAAGGTATTTGATCTCGAAGTATTAACAAAGGGATACTACCACGGTTACGATCCTTCTATTAATCCTACTATAGCAAACTCGTTCTCAACTGCCGCTTATCGTTTCGGACATTCACTGGTTCAGCATAGTTTCGTACGATTCGACGGAAATCATCGACCTTTTTTTAATAGTAATACTACGATTTAATTTATTATCCATTATTAGGATCTTCCCTGATTGATTTATTTCATTATATTTTTTTTTTTCATTAGATGTCTCAATTCACGACGAATTCAGAAACTCAGAAAATTTGGAGACAGCAGGTTCGGTAGACCGTCTTCTTTTAGGATTAGTGAATCAACCGTCACAGAAAAGGGATGAATTTATAACGGGAGAATTAACACGTCATTTATTTCAAACGCCAGGTTTTCCTTTCGGGATGGATCTGGCATCTCTTAATATCCAAAGAGGACGAGATCACGGTATACCACCATACGTTGATTGGCGAGGACCATGCGATTTGTCTCCCGTCAAAAGTTTTGCCGATCTTGAGAAAATTATGCCATCTAAATCTGTGATAAAATTTCGAACTTTATACCCTTACGTAGAAGATATTGATTTATATTCTGCTGGACTCGCAGAAAATTCGATTCGAGGTGGTTTAGTGGGACCAACATTTGCTTGCATAATCGCGCAGCAATTTAGTAACCTTAGACGTGGCGATCGATTTTGGTACGAAAATGAAAAAGAGGAAAGTGGCTTTACTTCTAGACAACTTCAACAAATTAGACGTATCACATTCTCACAAGTTCTTTGCCGTACGATTGATAACATCAAAACCATTCAACCGTTCGTCTTTTTAGTGGCTGATACATTCAGAAATCAACGTGTAGATTGCGATGATGAACTAATGACACAATTTAGCCTTGAACCTTGGATCGAACGACCACCAGAACAAAGAAGTGGATCAGGTAATATAAAATTATCAGATCGAAAGGGAACTGATCAAATTCGTAGTACAACCAGCAAATCTTTTACGAGTCTGAAACAAGAAGCGACCAAAGAAAATGTTAAAATTAACATGAGAGAACAAACGAAGACTTTACCTCAAGGAACAAAGCCTTTTAAGGCTAATATCAATCAGCATAATAGAATCGTTGTAAAAAAACCTTTTGGTCCACCCGACAACGTTACCATAGTCGTCCAAAATAATGCAGTAAATTCACCCGTCTTCGTTAATGATGCCATTTATGGTTCGTACATTCAAATACAAACGACCACTCAAAGTCACAAGGATATTCCGAGACCAGAATATTTCAATTATCAAACTAATGGACAATATAATCCATTATTATATGATCAAGGATCATTTAATATTCCTATTCATAAACCTCCTTCAAAACCAATACCAACTGTAATTCCTGATAGATCTGGAAGTTTACAAAACATAAGACCATACATACCATATTCTTATGACGATCCTAACAACCCAAATCCTCTGAATTACGGTTATAGACCAAATTATACACCCGAAGACATTGTTTATGACGACTTTTCTCCTACTAGTCCAAGACCAACTTTATACACGTACTACATGCACGCCCAACAATTCAAAACTACGCAAAGACCCATCCATCAGAACGAAGGCCAGTCGAATTATTACAATCCTTCTTACAATAAACTATCTACGGTGCAACATTATCAAGAAGTAAGTCCATCGCCCTGGATAAAAACTAAACCACAGTTCGAGTCGAACTCACAGTCTTACGCACAGAGACTAAGTTCAGATGGTATTACAAATCCTCATCCACAATATAATAGCAATATGAACAACAGACCAGAGTACTGGCCTCATCAAACATCAAGTGCCATAAAAGATGAGAATATACATTCTGGACAGATCTATTACAACTACAATCAAGATAAATCTACTGACAAACCTTCTAACAAAGACGAATCATCAACTTGGAAATATTCGACTAATGTTCAGAAAGATAATGGATTTGCTATTTCTTCGAACAAACCTTACAACGAGCCATCTGTTCCACAAGAAACAGATATTCATATGAATATACCAATAAATAGACCGTATAACGAAGATAATCCTGATATTTATAATAAGAAACCATTCGATACATCCTACCTTACTATGCTGAACAAATCAAATGATCGAAATGGATTAGGAAATCTACCGAATGTGCAGGTTTATCAAGAAGAAGCCATAAAAAATCCAATCTTAAATAATCCAAGCGAATGGACCAATATTCCATCTTATCAGCAAGGTCCGACCAAAAGACCCGATTCTATCATACTGCATGAAGAACCTTCGTATCAGAAAAGTCCAATTAAAACGCCTACGATCGTTCAAAGCGATCTTAGCTGGACGAAAGTTCTATCGTACCAAGCGGATTTATCGAAAGAGACTAGCTATCAACAAAGATTAACCATAAAACCAGATAGATCAACTAGCAATTCATTTTATCAAACAAATCCGTTGAAGGATTCAACGAACAAATCTATCGAAAAAACCGAAGATATCTCTTACCAAAGAAAACCAATTCCACTTGTTCCTATACAAGAGTTGGCAAAAGTTTCGGCAAATAATAAAAGTTCACGGCCGACAAAAATACAAAGTGTTACCATTGTCACGGAAAGTACCGAAACAGTTCAACATTCTGGGTCTACTGGTTATAGACCAGAAAATAAAATCAATAAAGAAATTCCAAGACCATTGGAACTTCGACAAAACGATGGAAAACCTGGCCAGTACTATTACGATAAAAACGTTTTGCATCGTTACCCCGAAAAAATAGAAGATGATATCTCTAAAGATGATCATCGTCTTGTGAAGGATGACGTTATTTACAATGGGACGAAAGAAATTCTGGCAGAAAACAAAACTATTGTCGAATTGAATTACACCGATGTATTTACGAAAGCTCACGTGATTCAAAATGACAACGATAAATTTATAACAACTCCTACGATCGTGATCAATGATTCTGAGAGTTATATTGACGACGATCTCGACGGAGCTTTTTCCGAAAACATCGAAAGTGTCACAACTTTGAACGATTTACAGAGGTACTTATATTTCTTATAGTCTTAATTGAACGATTTATATAGCTGATCCAATGGTCCTTTTGCAGAACAAATTATTGGTTAAATTCCGAAGAAAATCCAAGATTGTCGTCCATTTTGGAAATGCCTAGCGTTACATCTGACGAAAGCATCAGCGTTAAGGAATTGCCTAAGCCTTTAATTAAAACTAGTAAATCTGCCTCTTAATTTACATTTCTTGGTAGTTTAGAAAGCTATTATTTTGTTTTTTCTTTTTTTCTATTTTATTATTATCGTTAACCGTCGTACCTTCTCACGCTATTTATTATCAAGTTCATTCTTTATTTTCATTAGATTCGTATTTATTTTCATAGACGAACATAGTTTCATAGAGATAATAATAACGTTTATTTACTTTTTATTAAAAGAATTTCATTTTCTTGATTAATCGTATTAAATTTAAAATGTTGACGAGGCTTATGATGTATATCATTAAGAGAATCATAGGAAAATAAAATAATTACGTTAAGTAACAACGACTATACGAATGACACATGGTATGCTAACACGCATTTCGACAGTAACATGGAATGTAGCCTAGTTTTATCCCGCTTTTAAACTCTGCCGTCTATGTCTGGAGCGTCTCTCGACTATTTTCAGATGCAGTTTCCAACTCGCTGCATTTCGTCTGTCTTCTCGAATTCTACTAAAAATTCATCGTTCAAATCCCACGCACATAAGTACTTACATTTGATGTCCTAATTTTTAATTCCCTCTTTCCACCTTCCTTTTTTCTTTGTTCGTTCCCCGATATTCGACTTTTGTCTTTTGTTTACAAATTTCGTACGTTTATTTAAATTTCGATAAATGTTTCATGATCGATGAACTATCGACGTTTCAAAATAATAAGCAAACAAAAATGTTTTCCATATCATTGCCAAGGCCTTTATAATATTTTTAGATAAAGATATTTTTTCTGATGTTATTCTTTTAAACATTTAATTAGATTGTTCTTTGCTACGAATATTTAAAAAGAGTGATCAACCCAAAAGACGAAATTCACTAGACGAAGCAATAGCATAAATAGAAAAAATGAACTCATATTTGAGTGAGCCAGGTGGATTATAATCATTGGGTTGGAAAGAGAAAAGATTGTGGTAATCTCTTGTGGATGAGAATCGAGTTCGTCACTCGAACGGTTTACTTCTGACGAAGGCGAAAGAAAAAAGAGACAATGGCATACAAAGAATTGAAATGTACTTTCGGATATCGCGACCCGGATTCAGAGTTCCCAATGTGTCACGCATCGACTGAATTCGGAAATTGTGGAGAACGTGTCCTGAAAGTTATGTGAGCTTAGCGAAATTTTGGCATTTATCATTTTCTCTACATTCAAAATGATTCTTTGTTTTAAAGAAAAAAAAAATTGAGAAAAAGACAGAAAAAAGAAACGTTCGTTTTGTATTACGTATAAATACATATTTTTATAAACAATTATTTGGGTCTCGAAGTCATATCAATTTTGATAGATTTTATTAAAAAGAGAAGCTTATTAAGCTTAGAAGCTTATCGAAATTTTATTAATAAATTTATCTCGGAAATCGCAAAACAGCTTGTCTCTCTTAATTATGCAGTATTATTTTTAATGAAAAAAGATCTCTTCTCCACGCTCGATTTAATGAGTTTGCGAGGCTCCTTTATGAAAGATTATATATTCGAGCGTAAAGAAACATATATAAAAGAAACACTCGAGTTGATATCTATAAATCGGAAATTAATTAGTTTTAATATTTCGTTAAAAATGGGTTATAACCCAATCGCGATGGTGTTAATTCAAGCAAAAATGATTAACACGTATTTCCGTTTCGTTTCTTTTCGTTTCATTTCTTTGATTCAAGATATTCCTTTATATAATATTCAAGCATTCATTCGTTAGAGAACGAGGTACAGATGAATTCTTCAAACAATAAAGAAATTGAGTGACGTATTTATTTTAAAACGGCAACTGAGTTTACAGTCTTCTCTTTCTTCGTTCTCACACTAATTTACGTGGGACTAGGATGACGGTATGCTCAACAGACATGCTTTCCCTTTCCATGGTGTGTTGCGTCTTTATTATGTGAGAAATACGTAATGCAGCATCACGATGGTCTATCATCGAGATAATTGGAGTATAATAGCAACTAACGCCAAGTATATATAAAGAAAAGAACGTAATATCTTTCGGTAAGATACGAAATATATTAATTATTTCGAATTTTTTTGATACGACTAGAATCCAATGAAAAATAAAAAAAAAAAATATTTAACAAAAATGTCGGATTATAAGATATATATTTATACATGCAATATGACAATATGTATTATGACACTATCGAATTACTTAAAATTATTTTTTTTTCCTAGTTTCTAATAAAGTCAATCATATAACACTAATAAGATTATCAAATTCGATGTTTTATTAATCATTTCGTGAATTCTATAAATATGATAACTACTGCGTGCACGTCTCGACCAGTTAGTAAAGAAGGAAACAACGTAACTAGATGGCGCACTTTGGAACACAAACGAACGAAAGGAATAGTGGAATCGAAACGTGGCAAAAGTAATGGAAGAAGAGGGGAGAACGTTCCGTGTTTCAGCGTTCCGCCGGTCGGCGCGAAGCGAGCGTCGAGCAGTCGGTAGCGACGCGTCCCGGGCGCAAGTCGCTTTATTAGCGATGTTTTTTGGTGTTTCTCGCGATTGTGGCCTTCGGGCGAACGCTCGTGATGCTCCTTTTCATCCCTCGTCTCGCGTTGCCGTTGGTACAACCGTCATCCTTATTCTTATAACTTCACAACGGGCTTTCTCACAGGAAAGTCTGGCTAATCGTATGAGAGTGATCAGCGAAGATCTCGATCGGCAGTTGAATGATATCATGGCCTCGCAAGCCGTCAATTATACCACCGTCAACACCACAGGACTACCCTACAACGCCACCACTAAGTTCAATCCTAAAGGAATGGGACAGCTCTACAACGTCACCAACATGTTCATCGACTTTGTTCAGAGTAAACAGGCATATCCAGAAGGTGAATCGAGTTATAATTACATACATGTTCATCCATCTCTTTCTCTGTTTTTTCCTTAGTCTGCTTTCGTCCCTCTCTTTCTCTTTTTGTGTCTCGTCCTTTCCCCTTCCACCTCTTTCTCTCTCTCCTCTTTCTCTTTCTCTCTCTCTCTCTCTCTCTCTCTCTCTCTCTCTCTCTCTCTCTCTCTCCTTCGCGCGCACGCACGAGCACGCACATCGCCAGACAGAGCAACACTCTTCGCACGCGCATCATCTCCCTGTTTATCTTCTACTCCGTCTCCTTCCGTTTACGTGAAAAATATAGAATCTCTTTTTCCTTGAAGCTACATATGTCTTGTAAATTCAGGAAGAGTAAATGAAACACATAGGGACTCTTAGGAGAGTACGGTTACGCCCTGCGCCGCCAGGGCCGCGGGAAAATGGCCGGCAGCTTGTTGGTAAACAGATCGCTGTCAAGCAACCTTTCATAATATGATAAAAATGAAATAGTTTTTGTCTCGTACTTTGTTTTTATTTAAAACTAACATTCATTCTCAAGGATATTCCATTTCTAACGAGAAAATCGATTAATATGTTTTGAACGAATTTTTATCGACGATACGAATTCATAAATTTTCCTTTGACTTCGTCGTCAATAAAATAAACAACTTGACTATTTTATTAATTGAATTCTCCTCATTTTTTCAATTAAGAACTAATGATTCTCTTTGTTCTGAGTTCTATATTCAGAGCAATTAAACTTTCATTTGATCGTTATAAATACAACGATTCCATTTGTGTAAAATATTTTTTACCATTTACATTCGTAAAAGAAATTTTAGTGTGTATGTATGTATGTATTATTATTGTTATTGTTATTGTTATTGTTATTGTTATTGTTATTATTATTGTTAATATCATTATCATTATACCATATCGATAATAAAAAAGAATATTATTTAGAGGTCATGTCAAACACGCCATATTTAGATATCTCGAGTATAGATTCGACCTAGCAACACGTATATACAGGTTGGGTAATCGGATAACGAATCATTGCAACGACGAGAAAAGAATAATTGAAATAATAATAAATAGGGATGTATCGACTTTCGATTGATTTCATATATGAGAATAGAAAAAACGAATGTTTTTTTCGATAAACATATATATATATATATATATATATATATATATATATATATATACATATATCTTTTTTTTAATTATGTAGCGTTTTAAACAAGAAATGCAAAAAAAAAAAAGAAAAAATATCAATTCTTTTATAGTTCGTATTTTCTCTCTTTCTCTCACGCAAGAGCTTTTCTCCAATCGGAATACAGGATCCAGAAAGCTGGTACTTGATCCAGTTTCGAAAGAACCAGATATTCGCCAACTGCTTTACGCGAAATCGTATCGTTCGTCATCTCGTGACAAGCATTCACATTCTTGACGTAATACAATTTTCCAGACATATAAATCATTTCTTGATAATTACGTTACATATTTCTTATATTATACAACCGAAATACGTAATATCATCTTACGAATCTTAATTTGAAGTAATTTCGAATCGATCAATAATCATCTATGGATAATAACAATTTTATGTCGGCTTTTCAAGACGCATTACTTTCACGCATTGGTCACCAACATATTTGCTTTCTCTCTCTTTCTCTTTCTCTCTCTCTCTTTCACTCTCTGTCTCTCTCTCTATCTCTCTTTTCTTGTCTCTCTCTCTCTTTGTATCTTTTCTCTTTCTTCTTCTGGACAGTCAAGCCGTTAGCTCTCTTTTTTTTTCGTCTGCATCGTCGAGACAAGTGCATCAGTCTTATGGGACTCTTCGAAGGGAGAGAAAGAGAGAGAGGATTGGTTGAATGTATATATATATATATATATATATATATATATATATATATATATATATACATATATACATATATACACATATATATATACATATACTACACACACGCGTTACTTTTTCGCGCGATTCATCCGGCGGGAATCACGTGACCACAACTATATTTGCAGGACTTTTAAATATCTCTCCTTTCTTTTCTTTCTTTCTTCCTTTCTTTTTTCTTTTACATTTCTTTGCTTTTCTTTACACTTTATTTGAACTTTATTTTAAAAGTCCGTTGTGATAACTGAACACGATGCTCTCTTAGTCGGATCAACGACCTGTACGCGTGGTAGAAGCATGAGTGTAAAAAAGAAAGAGAGAATATCATGTCGCTCTCTTGTATCGTTCACGTCTAGCAGGAAGTTGATAGTGAACGACACAGTATGTTCGTCG